GGCATCGATGAGCTAGAGGAATTCCGGCGCGGGGTGGAGCTAGTTGGTCCACCCGGCCAGAAAGGACAAAGTGGTAACTTTTGGGTGGTTTTGCGATTTTTTGAAAAGATATTTGACAATTCATTCTGAGCGAACATCAACATCGAAAAAATCGAATTCAAGATTTTCGAAAAATCTTCATTTTTTTGACTGTGTGTCGATTCTCTGCAATGTGAGAGGAGCTCTACGAGGTTCCCGGCGGTGACCAGGTTGACGGTTCACCGCCGGCGCCAGTTAACCTGGGGTCGGTTTTTGAAACTTTGTGCAAGATTTGACAATTCGTTTTCAGAAAACGGATTTTTCTCACATACAGTAAGCTATGGCGCACCTGCTGGTAAATTTTCAGGGCTCTAGGGGCAATATTACTGTCAAAAGACTTGCAGGAACCGACTTTGCCTGCAGTGCAGTTTGGCAGGTGACGGTGGTTGGCTTTACTTAACTCGAGCTGTCAGCAAGCTGCAGACCTCTCACGCACACCAGTCGATGCAGAATGATCTGGCGCGTCACACTGGAAGCTCGAGAGTTCCTAGAAATGGCTGAGTCAGGAGTTATGCTCGAAATACTGTCTCTATGTATGCGTGTTGCAAACGATGTTTCGATGATAACTCGAGCTGAGTGCATGCTATGCATGCCAGGTACATTCCAATCGAAGTAGCGACATGCGAGACATGGGAGCCTCGAGAGTGCCGAAATTGATTAGAATTTTTCAAAATCAATGAAAAATATCGATTTGTACAATTTTGTATTTTTGTGTCGGATGTTTTTTTTTCTAATTTATATCGATCTATGGGTGACCTAGAGAGTTCTGGTGCATGTTTGTCGACGCAGAATGGTCTCGCGCTCTCACTGAGAGCGCGAGACTTCATATGAATAGCTTCGCTGGGAGTGAAAACTTTGGTCCAGCCGGCCGAGGCGGACAATGTGACAACTTTTGGGTGGTTTTGCAATTTTTTGAAAGATATTTGACAATTCATTTTGAAAAAGCAGATTTTTACTCCGAGCATTGAGATATAAACTTCGTTCCCTGATCAGCTCGGCCATCTAGAGTCATTTTCAGTACCAGTTCACTTGAAGGAACCGACTTCATTGACTCCGAAAAAATCTCAACTTGAAGTTTTTGTAGAAAAGCTCCCAGAAGCTCCCGCTTTGATGCTGAGCTTTCTCACGGATTCAAGGAGCTCTACGAGGTTCCCGGCGGTGACCAGGTTGACGGTTCACCGCCGGCGCCAGTCCAAAGGGCCTCTTCGCTCTTCGGGTTTTGGACGCTACCAAGTGTTAACCTGGGGTCGGTTTTTGAAACTTTGTGCAAGATTTGACAATTCATTTTCAGAAAACGGATTATTCTCACATACAGTAAGCTATGGCGCACCTGCTGGTAAATTTTCAGGGCTCTAGGGGCAAGAGTACTGTCAAAAGACTTGCAGGAACCGACTTTGCCTGCAGTGCAGTTTGGCAGGTGACGGTGGTTGGCTTTACTTAACTCGAGCTGTCAGCAATCTGCAGACCTCTCACGCACACCAGTCGATGCAGAATGATCTGGCGCGTCACACTGGAAGCTCGAGAGTTCCTAGAAATGGCTGAGTCAGGAGTTATGCTCGAAATACTGTCTCTATGTATGCGTGTTGCGAACGGTGTTTCGATGATAATTCGAGCTGAGTGCATGCTATGCATGCCAGGTACATTCCAATCGAAGTAGCGACATGCGAGACATCGAATGGGAGCCTCGAGAGTGCCCAAATTGATTAGAATTTTCAAAATCAATGAAAAATATCGATTTGTACAATTTTGTATTTTTTGTGTCGGATGATTTTTTTTCTAATTTATATCGATCTATGGGTGACCTAGAGAGTTCTGGTGCATTTTTGTCGACGCAGAATGGTCTCGCGCTCTCACTGAGAGCGCGAGACTTCATATGAATAGCTTCGCTGGGAGTGAGAACTTTGGTCCAGCCGGCCGAGGCGGACAATGTGACAACTTTTGGGTGGTTTTGCAATTTTTTGAAAGATATTTGACAATTCATTTTGAAAAAGCAGATTTTTACTCCGAGCATTGAGATATAAACTTCGTTCCCTGATCAGCTCGGCCATCTAGAGTCATTTTCAGTACCAGTTCACTTGAAGGAACCGACTTCATGTTGACTCCGAAAAAATCTCAACTTGAAGTTTTTGTAGAAAAGCTCCCAGAAGCTCCCGCTTTGATGCTGAGCTTTCTCACGGATTCAAGGAGCTCTACGAGGTTCCCGGCGGTGACCAGGTTGACGGTTCACCGCCGGCGCCAGTAGCTGGAAGCTAAGAGTAATTCCGGCGCGCCCCACAGCTAGTTGGCTCGAAAAAAAAAGAACTGAACTTTTCACAACTTTTGCTCGGTTGAAAATTATTTTCTCGAAATTTGACCATTCGTTAGAGCTCTAGTATTTTTTCCCGTGATATTCGATCTTATTCCCGCTCGCCATCTTGATCTCAGCTCGATCGGGTAACTTTGAAGGCCAAAAAGCACACTGGCGGGAACGGCCGTTTCGAGTCATCTTGATACGCGCTGTCGCTATTTTGTTCTTAACTCGAGCTTGAGGACAGCTACAGAGCTGGTAAGCACAGCTATCGCACTCAGAATCATCAGGCGCGTTCGCCTGTTGAATCCAGAGGTCTGAACTCGGTCTGCCAGCCGAGCTAGGCCCGCAAACCTATTCGTATTCTTTGAGTCAACTTGATACGCGTTGTCGGTATTTTCTACTGAACTCGGCTGTAGGGCAGCTACAGTGCTGGTAAGCACACCTATCGCACTCAGAATTATCAGGCGCGTTCGCCTGTCGACTCCATAGGTCTGAACTCGGTCTGCTAGTCGAGCTAGGTCCGCAAACCTATTCGTATTATTCGAGTCAACCTGATACGTGGTCGGTGTTTTCTGCTTAACTCGAGCTGTAGGGCAGCTACAGTGCTGGTTAGCACAGCTATCGCACTCAGAATCATCAGGCGCGTTCGCCTGACGAATACATAGGTTTGAACTCGGTCTGCTAGCCGAGCTACGTGCGCAAACCTATTCGTATTATCCGATTCAACTTGATACGCGTGGTGGGTATTTTGTACTTATTCCGAGCTGCAGGGCAGCTACAGTGCTGGTAAGCACGCCTATCGCACTCAGAATCATCAGGGGTGTTCGTCCGCCTGTTGGATCCAGAGCTCGGAACTCGGTCTGCTGTCCAAATTAGATCGGCACAACTTCTATATTGTTCGAGTCATTCTCAAAAGTGCTGTCGGTTTTCTGCACCTAACTCGGGCCTGTAGGGGGGCGGCAGGGCTGGTGACAGAAGTCGATTCGAAGACATCAGACGCGTCCACCTGTCGCATTCAGAGGTCAACAAATATTTACTATAAGTCGGAATGTTGGATGCGCGGTTTTCTCAACTAACATCAAGGTAGGAAGCTCTACGAGTCCCCGGCGGTAACAAAGGTTGACGGTTTACCGCCGGCGCCCAGTAACTCGTAGAGCTTCCCTTAGCTAGTTATAGCTGGAAGCTTAAGAGTAATTCGTAGAGCTTCCCTTAGCTAGTTATAGCTGGAAGCTAAGAGTAATTCCGGCGCGTGGAGAGCCCAGAGCTAGCTTGCTGCTTAAGAGTAATTCCGGGGAGCTGGAGAGCTAGTTGGCAAGAAAAATCTCGACGGACCTTTTGGTGACTTTTGGTCGGTTGAAAATTTTGTTCTCGAAATTTGACCATTCGTTAGAGCTCTAGTATTTTTTCCCGTGATATTCGATCTTATTCCCGCTCGCCATCTTGATCTCAGC